ATTCTCTGTCCATACCACCACATCCCCACGCCATGGGAGGAGTCTGCTGCAGCTCCCACCTTTGTGTCCCTAAAACACCAACACAGAGCCAGTTCCCTGCCAGCTGCTGCGTCCCACGGGGCTGGAATCCAGCTTCACATGATGTTGGGTGCACGGGGAGGGGCTCTGGGTGCGCAGGGATGGGCACTGAAACTGCTGATGGTGAAGAAAGCGCCCTGAGGAACTAAAGGCCTTTTGTGTGCCATTGTCCGGGGGGCTTTCCTTGGAGCTTTTGGCCTTTTCACGCTGTTGTGCCGGTGCTGAATGGTTCTGCTGCTGCCCACATTCCTTCCCCTCGGCCAGCCACTGCCCAGCTTTGTGCTGAACGCCCCAGCTCAGCTTTTCTCCACATCCCCCGGGCTGGAAAAGCTTCCCCCCGCTGCTCCCCTGAGCGTTTTCGCTGCATGTTTTCACAGCATGTGCATGAATGGCACAGCACGGGTGGCATGAGGGAGGGCAGGATGGGCACAGCCGGGCATGGATGGAGAAGTGGACATGGAGAGAGAAACCCTGGCTGTTCCCTGATTATTCCATGGTCATTCCCTGGCCATTCCCTGGCCATTCACTGGCCATTCCCTGGTTAGTCCATGGTTATTCCCTGACCGTTCCCTGACTATTCCCTGGCCGTTCCCTGGCCATTCCCTGGTCATTCCCTGGCCATTCCCTGGCCGTTCCCTGGCCATTCCCTGGTCATTCCCTGGCTATTCCCTGGCCATTTCCTGCCTATTTCCTGGTTATTTAATGCTTATTCCCTGGTCATTCCCCGGTCATTCCCTGATTATTCCCTGGCCATTCCCTGGCCATTCCCTGGTCAATCCCTGGCTATTCCCTGGCCATTCCCTGAACATTCCCTGACCATTCCCTGGCCATTCCCTGATTATTCCCTGGTCATTCCCTGGCTATTCTCTGGCCATTCCCTGACCATTCCCTGGTTATTCCCTGACCATTCCCTGGCCATTCCCTGATTATTCCCTGGCTATTCCCTGATTATTTCCCCTTGATTTGATCTACGTTCCTCCACCCAAAAAAATTCCCCAGCTCCATTTTCCTGCTCTGGAGCCCCACCAGCCCTCCCGCAGCAGAGGGGATAAAGCTGTGGCTCCGGGGGTGATCCCACCTCGTTCCTTACCTTCCCCAAAGTTCTGGTCGTAGATTTTGCTGGGGTTGGCGAACTCGTACTCGGAGCTCATGGGGTAGGCGTGGGGCACGGTGCGGGTGGCCATGGCGGGACAGGGACGGGCACCTCCCCACCGTTCGCTGCCTCGCAGAGTGAAGGCTGCAGGCTGCGAGCCCTCGGCTGGGAGAATTCCAAAGGGAGGAGTGTGCGAGGAAAGAGAGGAACCAAAATAGCCCCGCGCACCGGCCATGGGGTGCCGGGCTGGGGCAGCGCCTCGCTGCATTCCAGCGGGGAGAGGGGAGAGCAGTGCCCGGCGACACCTCGGGGACACCCGGCATGTCCCCCCGGCTCTGGGGATGCGGGGAGTGCATGGGCAGCCAGGACTGGGGGGCTGAGAGAGGGA